GATAACTATGGACATTTCGGTGTTTTTGTCATATCTCGGTGGTTTTCTGAGTAGTTCCTTCTACATCCATGGTTAATATGTTTTTAGACCGTTTTCAACCAACATGTTAACCTTCTTGATCCACTTGACCTGTCCTAAGTTAGGCATTCGTGCAGCGACTTTAGCTGCATCTAAATACACGTGATTTGGTGTTTGTGAACCAGTATCGAGAGTCATCTCACGTCAACACGTGAGAGTTACAGACTAGATGAAAACACAAACGGCCAAAATTAGTAGAAGACCGACCGAAGAGAGGAAAAGCTATATATATCAACCAAAGCTATATAATACCTAAAATGAAGATGTTTGCGCGCATCTACATTAATGAGGTCATTTCCGCGCCTTATCATCTATAAACCACTGCCGTGGATTTCGGTTAGTATGTGGACCCCACATGGTAAGTCTTTCGGTTAGACTAATAGAGACTTCATGGACTTTAAGCTTAAACTTTCTTCAGCTAGCATTATGCAGTTGGGTAGACAGTGAGTAGGCATGGGCAACACTTAGTGAATAAACATGTAATAGGTTGGTTTGCATTACGTTTGTGAAATAATCGTTTGCAAGCCTATACATGATGTATAAAATACAGTTTTCTGGATAATTCTTGGTCTAATGAGCATGTAAAAACAAAATTCTTAAGACCTTTTGCGTAACTACTTTTTTCGGGACCCTCCAAGTGTTATGCCCTTCTATCAATTGTCTTACTTAAAATAATGCAATTTTTTACCATGTCAGTGGCATATGGATTGCAGTTAAAATAACTGGTTGTATTCTATATTTGTTCTGGGGTCAAGTACAGAGCATTAGCATTTGGGTCGTGTCACTATGCTGTCCAACTCAGTCATTGATAAAGACTCACATCACCACAGTGTATATGGTCAGCGGAGCGAAACACCACTATGCTATGGATTTTATGACTCATATCCGTTGACTTGGACATGAAGGGACTTTTAAATGAACAGGAAAATGTCTCTGGTCATTGGGTAAATTATTTCAACCATTTTTGCATATTTATTACACCGTGAATTCACTATTTAATCAATATTACAGTCAGCAAACTTCCTGCTACGTTTTATCTGAAACCTGCTACCAAGGAATTCTCCAAGGGTATGAACAACTAGTCCATCAGCCATTACTCGGACTTATGTCCATGACTCATTTATGTTTACATAAAGTTCTCTACAAAGTTTGTTCACTATATGAACTACGTGTAAAGTTTTGCGTCGAGGGAGTTAGTCAGCTGATAATATTATCAACCTTTAATGGATTAAGCGGCTGGGACATGTGCTAAGCGTATGAATCTACCGTTCACCTAAACTTGCTGTGCTTGTTGGAGTGTGGTAAAGCCATTAGAAAATTGACTTCAGCACTATAAAAGTCTAAGATTCATAGTAGAGGTCTACTAGATCGCAGATGTGGTTGTTTGGGAAGAAAAATAAGGTTCGCATGTGATCATAGTAGTATATATGTATGTAAATTTCGCAAATCTTTTGCTTCTCATCAATCTATCTTTTCATCTCTTAGTCATCTTTTTGTCTGTTTCCTTTCTCTTATCCTCTCCCTGTGCTAGTGGAAAGTGTAACAATTCAGACTATTAATGCCAGGTCTGTTGTTTCTGTACGACACAATATCAAAACCAATAATGCAGAAGTTTTAAGAAGTGCTATTTACCACAACGCCAAATCATCTCTTTAACGGACTCTTACGGCTTAGAAGTATGTTGTCGCATTAGTAATTTCAGTGCTAAATTGTTCCGTCCCCTTTACCGACAGCTGAGAACAAGGCACCAACAAATGTATCAGCAAGGGGTGCTATGAAAAACAACAATATGAAAAAATGCGTGCTACCAATAGGATTTTTAATGGTATTGATAAAAATAGTCTAGGTAACGTAAGTAATCCAATTACTAGTAAATTGGTTTTTCGTCGTTTAAACGCAGCCCAAATAATTCTGATAGTAGATATCTGGAGTCTTAGTACTCGGAATAATCCTAATTAATAGATGATGGGTTTTCTGCGAGTCGATTGTAGTTCCCCATACGAGTATCTAAACCATGGAACGTAATGTACTATATATTTCTTAATTTTTGTTCCATATATATCATGTATGCTATAATGTTGTTTTGCAATAGTGAACCTTCCTTGTCTGTTCTGAGATTGTTCTGGTGGTCAATCCATCATAACGCATACTGCATTTAGTCAATTATCCTGATAAACTCAACTCATCATTCACAAGTATACCATTTTATCTCCCTTATCGTATCTCCATTTATTGCTAGAATGTTGGACAAGAAGAATATTCGCATTGTATTGTAGTAACTTGATTCGGCACTAGTTAAACACAGTGGAACAGGGAAAGATCTAATCCAATTAGTTAGAGCGAAATCCTAGTATCTAGTCAGCTGCGTTTCAGCTGCAAATATATTTTTCCCTAGCTAAGTAATGGTCGCAAAGCTACTTAGAGCTATAACTTCATAGTGAACTCATTTGTGGGGTTGTGGCTCATTGTTTTAGGGGTTGGCTTCCAAACAATGGGTCACAAGTCTGAACACTGTTTGACCTCCTGAGCTTTTGGGCTCCCAGGTAGTAGTATCATCAGCCTGCATTGCCTACTGCACCAATGTGCACAAGATTGCTGAATGGATTTCGATTTTTTTCGAGTTAACTCATTTGATTTTTAACCGGTGCTTTCTGGGTTCAAGTCTAGCATCAACTCTGACCTGGGAAACGATATGTTATCATAACCCCTTGCACAATATGTCCCATCCTAGTACAAAGAAACTGTTTTGACCTCCATTATTATTTTTGTCATTCGCAAAGCAAGACTCACCAAAACTCTAAACCCAGGTTTTATCCACTGTCGTATATCTTTCTTTATTCCCTTCTTTTACAGTTGTGTACGTCTTATGTGCCTATTATCAATCTTCTCATTATCAGTATAAACTTTTAGTCTTTGAACTATTTGTATTCGTTAAGTGGCATTAGTAGTGTCTAGATGCGACTTTACTGACCCTTTCTTGGCCAGAATATTTGGTGTAAATGTTGTTAATGTAGTGTCACTAAATCAGTACGGGTTTATATAGTAGGCTGACCCGCACTAATTGTGCAAGAGTTTTTAATGTTACCCGACTGCGCGATTGGAACGAGGTGGAATGGGATTTAATCTCGGGAGCCGCTTTAAGGTTGAATGCTTGAGTAGTCTAATAGTGGGAAACTAATTTCCCATCGACGGCCTTTTGTTTCTTTTATCTCATGGTTGGGTGTTTTGAAACTATACTGACTATGCTGTATCCTTAAAAATCTGTATGTCATATGTTAATTACATCCCACCAGCTTCTGTTCTATATTATATATATATATATATATCAGTCCATATTGAATACCAACTTGAAGAGTCCTTAAATCCCCATAAACCTCCAAATTAAATTTTCATTTATTATACAAAGACCGTTTCAATGCTGAGCCGTATTAACCAACGTTTACCTACATGAACTGAGTTAAATAGTTTCCACCATCCAGCTGTGAGGCACTTATTGTGTAAGAAATAGTGACTTTATATGGATTGCTGAACCTCAGTACTATTAGGCAACCACAAACAAGTTCGTGTACTAAGATATGAGTCACACCTATCGTCAGAGTTCGCGATACTACTTGTCTGTTTGAACGTAGATATGCAGAGCTGACAATTGATGAAGTCAAATAAGTGATTCACGCAAACAACTGAACCATAATTCCACTATAATATGTATCTGTGAGCGATTACCTAGACCCATATGGAGTAAATCGGGACCTTCGTACTTCTGTTTACTGATGGACTTATTTCACCACTAGACCAAAAACTTTATTTATTCACCTTAGTGATTAAAATATCCTTTATTCTAGGTTGATAGGAAAAGTTTTCCGGAACAGATATCATTGTAGTCTCTTGGCAGAAGTATATCACTTCGAGTTGCCACACCACAGCAGGTAACGTAAAGTGAATACAGTAAAAGTAGAGGATAAATGTGAATTAAGGTTACAGTATGTGCAAAATTTCGAAAATGATAAGAAATCAATGCATATGTGCCATTGTGACCAGTTACGACTTATCAGTGTCATTCTCTAAACATTAGTTCTTTGTATCTTGTGGACTCGAGTTGAATAATGCGGGCCTAGGTCTACCTACATGGCTCAAACTGACAGTCAGATACTTTATGGATCAGTGTCATAATCTGGTCCAGGCACCGTTAACTCTTTTCTTACCCAGTTTCTCTCCGGGTTTACTCGGTACATTGAGATAGGCAATAGCTCCGTATACATGATAGATGTTGAAGTCATATCAGTTGCTGCAAGTTCATAGCTCATACCTTCAGTATTGCTCATTTTCTGTCTCCCTCATGTGTGTTAGTGTTATTATTTAGAATATTTAAGTGATGAGATATATCCTCCTCGAGTAAATCCTTATAGATGGGAACTGCATTTAAATGGTTATGCCACTTCAAACTCGTTGTATAACTTAGCTGTGTCTATAGCATCATCCTTTGTTTTGACGTTCGACCTTGAAAAAGTCACACATCTTAGCCTTTCTCTTCGACTTCACTTTTCAAATTGTTTGACTTCAACTGGTGTATTTCCGCTTATTATTGAGTTGATGTGGTATTTCGAAGTTAGGCGTACTAGATTCATAGCTATTTGAACCAAGTGTGCTTATTACCTTTACCATTACCTATCTTATTCTGACCCTTGTCATTTTAATTTTCAGGCAACAAAAACGTTGATTGTTTTGGGATGTTTTTTGTTTGATCTAGTGTTTTGTGTCACTTTCATTATGTTCTTACAGTGTTAAATACTTGCTGTTTTAGGTAACGTAATCATAAAAATCGCAATCAATACCGAGAAGTGATATGTAATTCCTGTATGTGTGAGGTTTCATATTCATTGTCTATCACTTAATAATGCTTAAATTAAAAGCATGTGGTTTCTATGCTGCATCATCTGTATACTCGTTTAACAGGTAAGGTGACCGCATCTTTTCCAATAAATTGCTGAATATTTTCTAGGTCACATGCTCATATTTGTCATGTTTTACCTGGTTTATTTCACAAATTACCCTAGAGTTGATGGAATTAACTGTGCTTCTGGTTTTCAAGCAAATAACGATGGTATCAGAAGTAGAAAGTGCACTACTGGTGTACAACACTGTTTAATTACGCTTAGTCGTGATTCAATCAATGAGGTCTACAATCCTCACAGTTTTGACTGTTGGCCATGGCCAGAATTGGTAGTTAATTAAACTAGATAATTTTTTTGAATTACTTAGGAAAACAGATGTCCTACTGTTGGTGGAGTATGCCATGTCTTACACAAATCTAAGGATGATTTACTTAAAACCTGCTGCTGTCACGGTCACATGTGCAATAACGAAACTGTTAAGATCGTTCCTATGGCCGAAGACATCAGTAAGTTTGAGTTTTTTTCTAGTAAATGTTGAGATTATCAGGAATTCATTAGTGTTGTATTTAATATATGGTAAATTCGGAAGAAAGTGTACAAATACAGTAAGTAGTAGGTGCTGACTTCTAGTTTCAGGATCACTCCTACTTTTTCATTACATTCAGATGAAAATTTCTAAATAACGTAAAAGTGCCTCATCGATCCCACCTTTAGTTGTCAGGAAAATACTTCCAGAAATTTGCAACAATTACTTTTGTATACAAATTTCTCAAACGATGTCCTTTTTACAGCTAATCAATTGTATATGTGTATTCTGCAATTGTTGGTTTACAGCACAGAGCCTCCTAAGGCATGCGTATTTTGTCATATGCATTGCATCCTTTTGTTTTGTAATTTACAAATACGAGTGGATTCATTGTAGTGATTATATGGGCTAAACATGACATTTAGTTACATTTCAACAGTATTTGATGGCGGTTGTTAGTGTAAACCTAGATGCGTGTATCTGATCGGTTTATGTGGTATTCTTGAATCTGATATATTTGTTTTTCATTCTACATAAATGTTCCCACTGGCTTTTAAACCTAATATTTATCATTCTAAATGCCAGAATTTTAAATCATTCACCTTCACATGTCTTTCCTGAAGGAAAACATTCTTTGGTTATTTAGTAAATTCATGTCTTTCGATGTCAAACAGCGTCGGAAACCTTTGAAAGCTGTTATTTGTACTCAGTTTTCTTCAAAAACTACTCATCCTTATGTTGTTTAGCTGACTTTTCAGTTGTACTGTAACACCTGTTCGGGTCGAGTATACTTTCGAATTTTCGTAGTTTTTCGATGTTTCTGAAATCTTGAGAATATCATCTGTAAAAACTACTAATTACTATAACATTTTTTCTGCACAAAAGTTTAATTTATACACTTTCCGTATTCTGTCGATTGCATTCGTTTTTTATTTTGGTTAGTTTTTATTATCTGAATTATACTTATATTTTTATAAAATAAAACTCTTCATTTACTTATAAGCAAGGACTAATTGTGTATTCATGTCTACAAAGAAACCTTAGAACTAAACCTACAGTACTCTTGCATCAGAATTCCATAAAATCAGTAGATTGTTAATTTATTCAAACTTTCTGTGCAAGTTGAATAACCGTATATTTACTTCCGACTTGTGTACACAGAAACTTACATCCTCACCGCCTCTGCTTTAACTTCATTTATGGTTTCTGTTTTTTCTTTGTCAGTTTCTACTTCTTATTTTCTTGTAGGTCTCGGTGAATTTCATAGAAGTGGTCTTGATCACTTTGGTTTGCGAGTACCTGATCGGGATTCAAACGTAATTGTAGCCCCTCAGGATCTTCCAAACTCAGGTGTTGTTTCTTCCTTGCACTCAGATTCCTATGAAGACCCTCCAGATGATCGACTACAGATACATGCATTGAGAATCTTTGTTATATGTGGAGTACTCTTTTCGACTGTATGCACAGTTATCCTACTTGTGTTTTGTTTATCCCCTCGTTACAAAAAAGTCAGAATGAAATTTTCCCTTGCATGCAAACATCCGCCTTCATCTTCATATTATCAAAGTGGATTAGATAATCGTGTCCGTGGAACACTATCAATCATTGACTGCTTTCATTGTCCAAAACGTTTGTCTTTCAAGTCATCTTATGCTGGTGATTGTGTTATGACTTATCCTGTCCAAGATCCAGAAACTACACATCATAGCATTTCTAATGGTGATAATCTTCCCAGAGGAGCTTCATGTACTGATTCTATTGGTAGTGGCTTTGTATTCTCTGATGTCTCAGAAAGTGGATCAATTGCAACAGAAGTGACTAACCTACAGGTTAGAAATAGGTCTTCAAATTTCTGTGTGTGTATGATTAACTTTGCATTGTGTAATCCTTTTTTGAATTTACTTGCGGACATAGTTTTCAAAACTGGGTAGTCGAACATGCATGAAAAAATGTTTGAGTTAAAACAATTTGTCAAACATTGGGTACTAATCGATAACCGTCTCTGTGCTGTTCATTTGAATAGATCTGTAAGAACTAGGATGTATTGTAGTCCCCTTTCAAACTTCTAATCGCTTACACACTCATTGGTTGTAGTTCGAGAAATGTTAAAGATGACTCCGACCAAAATTAGTCAAATTTACCACACGAAGAAAAATGTTTAGATATATTCAGCGTTCGAGTAGAGAAGCAGCGCTAATTGAAAATACACCTCTAGAGTCTCTATAGGATCTCACACGGATTAATTTACAATGGTAGTCGTTTATGATTTTTTACTGACAACCATTTGTTACTGGTCAGGACTATTTGCTAACAAAAGGATAGATGTTATCTCACTTGACGTCCGTGTACAACGTTATAAGCCATCGTTAGAGAGGAAAAGCGAAAGGTTGTCGCTTTTTTGGAGTAACTGCTTAGACTGCGATCACACATTAATAAGGGCGAGCATGTGTTCGCGTTCTATTAGAAACCGGAAACAAACATCTGTGAAGCTTTACTGTGCTCAGAGGCACGAAGTTATTTATATGAACATGATACCAACTCTCATCTGGACGAAGACAAATGTAGCGTTCACTCTTTTGTAGAAACAGCGGTAAAGACAGTACATAGGACTTAAAGTTTACTAAAGACCAATGGATTTCCACAGTCTCATTCGAACTGATTGGTGCGATAAGCCGTATTTTAGCTTTGACCACGATGAGAAGCAAAATGATTTTAAACCCGAAGTAACTAAGAGTATGCATATTGAACACGATCAATTGTGGATAGATGTAATTCAAGAGATGTGAGGGTATTAGCCTTAGTACCTGAAAGTTACTCAGGGTTATTGAAAAGACTAGCACAAAGATGGTAGTCAATGGGGCTATCTTCTAAAAGGATAGGTTCCTGATAACCTCTCAGATTAGGTGACTATAATATTGGACAGAATATTTTGGAAAATAGTTCAGCTGGCCTAAAAGTGCACTTCAGACACCCAACACTTAACCAAAACCTCAAGGCGTTGTGGATTACGTTCGTCTACCTCCTCCTACATGATTCAAATCACGTCAGAGGTCTTGGCTTACAGGTTGGGATCCGATGGTTAGCTACTTCTGGTGGTATCACTCGAGGTCATATCAACTTATGATTACATTTTCTGAATTTCTATTATCTTGGTGTGCTGATGCAAGGTGTAGCAAATCCAACTGTTAGGTCATATTGCCAGATCCCATGTTGGTATTGACTAGGTGGTATGAATGGGAATCGATCTCAGTGACGCTGCTGCATTTATGCCTTATCTCCGTCATAACGGTTATACGCCATTTCGTTATTTGCTTCGCCTCTCTCGTTTCTTCTCATGGCTTTCAACTACTTTCGAATTTGTGGTTTTCATTCATTTTCTCCTCATGTTGTTACCACTTATCTTGATGTAAGGTGTAAAAACTTTGATTGGCACGTGAAAATGCTTGGTCGGACACCGACATTTCCACTTCCTTAGTGCTAATTCCGTTGAGCTGGTCTAGATCGTTGACCATCCTATTTTATGAAAAAGCGTAGAAGCTCTTCTTTGGTAACTGCAGGGAAATCATTTTGGTTGTCACCGTGTCTAGGACTATATAATCCACTGTTACCCGACACCTAAGTGAATCGCAACTACAACAAACTCGATAAAGCCAGTTAAGTTTTGGATCTGGATAAGAGTTCATCGATCGGATTTTTGTCCTTCGACATATTTTGTAGTATTAGCATGCTGACTAGTGCCAACACTTGTTATATTTTTCTTAACCTAAAGTCAGCATTTAACTACACTATCTGAACGATCTCATGGAAGTGTTCGGTTATCAAAAAAGTTTTGAGAAACTATATAATATCAATACTTTCTTTCTACTTGAATTCATACAACCGTTTAAAGATTTACTGACAGTTGTTTGACAGAGACAGACACATAGAATCAAAGTATAACCTTGCACACAAGTGCACCGTCTCAAGTTGCCACATTTCACGATAGTTCACAAAGAACAAGTAGATAGGAAAGGAGTGATATCAAAGTGGACAAAGTTATGTGAGAGAGTAAACAGTTTGAAGATAAACGTTGGTGCGAATGGTCAAGCTTTAGAAGACTTCAAAGAGTAAATACATCTGCGCCACTGCGACCGATTTTCAACCATATCACCAGGAGTCCCCAACCACTTATTCTTTTCGTGTCGGGGACCCCAGCCAAGTCAAGGACATCATGGACTGGTGCTAGGTCTTGGTCTGGCCACTCTAAACCCTAAGTTCACAGTTGTTTGAAGTTGCGACAGCTAATGGGGTCTGCCTGGGATGTTTACTGTTGCCACTCTTACTTATCTTTGTTACTAACGTCACGGAAGCTAAACATAACAAAATAGTTTAAATTCTATTAAATAGTTAAGCTTTGAATGTTATGTACGTAGTTCATTGACTTATGAGAATAACAAAAATAAATTGGCTGTGGTTGTCTTCAAGGAACAGCGTGACCTTCCGTCAGTGCGTTACGCGCTAAAATTTCATCCTTCCTGTTAAGAATTAAGCAGCCCTTTGATATCGTTGGTCTTCATACAGTATGCATAGCCGATAGTCTAATACACAAATTTGTACATAGGTGCTGAATTTCATTGCATATTAACTTTTTATTGTTTTTGAAGCTATGGTTAACTGACCTAGGCACTTGATTTTCACCAAGTGAGTCGCGAGTTAGAACCCTGCTTTGCCTACCGAGGTTCGGACAGCCAGGCAATATCATTAGCACCAACAAAACAGTATATTGTTTTGCCTAATGCATGAAGGTGCACGTGGCTGCTGAGCACATTTCAATTTCCCCCCCTTTATATCAGTAGGTGCTGTATAGCTAAAATACTGGTAGTTGTAACCTTTACCTCTTCCAATGTGTGATTAAACGATCTCGGAAGTCATTAGTGGATATTTGGGATCATTCAGATATTAGAAATGTAATGTAATCCTTCCCTCGCTTAAAGTTCACATAGTTAAACTTAATTGACACTGTCATTACTTGTATTATCCCGTCTTTGAGTGGATCGAATTGATCGGTCTCTATTGCCTCATGGGCTCCTGTGCAGATGCCTCGATATTGCCTGTGTTTAAATGGTATATTAATGATGGATACTGGCCAGCAGTGGAACTCAAGACGCGCATCTCGTCCTATTTGGGACCCGTCAGCTGGATGTACTTGCCCCCCAGTGAGCGGTGTTGTTCCCACCAGGACTCGAACTCGGGACCGACCACCTCAAACGCCTAAGCGTTATCTACTAGACCACCTAGTCACGATAGCCGCTTATTGTGCGACTGGTGTAGTTTTAATTTTGTCACGTACTGGGAAGCAGGTACATCCAGCTGACGAATCCCAAATAGGACGAGACATGCGTCTTGAGTTCTACTGCTAGCCAGTATCCATCACTAATATTTAATTAACATTCACTCAAAAATTGGTGTCCTAACGTACATTTCTTATTTTTTTTCTCATACCGATTGACTAGCTTGTAGCTAAATGTTGTCAAAAAGAGAAATTGATTGGTCGTGGGCGTTTCGCAGAAGTATGGCTGGCCAGTGTCCCTTTATCAGTAATTACAAACCAAATGAAGATAACTAACGATTTACTAGACCAATCAAATCATAAAAATAATCATAGTAATGGTATAAAACCCAGTCAATCAACTAATGGATCACTTCTTGGGAATAATTCAAATACAAATTCTTCTTGGCATCTATTTTGTTGTCAGTCGGATAACCGGTTTAAGACAGTATCTAGTACTGCAGTGAAGCGAAATGATTCTAACACATCATCCTTATTTCGTGAATCTCACCCTCAAATTTCTTTAAATTATTTATGCAGGTTAGTCCCTATTGTTTGTTGACATTCAATAATCATGGTATATTAATGTGTAAGGCATCCTGAAAACCAGATAAATTCAAGGTGGATGTTCATTAGAGTGTAAAGATATTCTTTTACAACAAGAGAAGTTTGTTCAATCAAAAACAGTGAACAGATTATACAGTTCACTTGCATCCAGTTAAAGCACCGATCAGCTGGTCGTGATTTTCTAGTAGTTGTAGTTACTATATATCTGAGCAGCGTAGATCAGGAAGGTAAATAGAAATGTAGATACTGAACATCAGATGTAAAAGAGTAACTTCAATTATTAACATTGCTGTGAATCGCATCACTGAACTTGTATGTTCCCTAATCTTTATAGGCTCGTACTACTTCTCTTAGTACTTTAATATTACCCATGCTCAGCAGGTTAAAAAACTGAGTGGGTAGCTTTTTGTTGTAACTACTTTCACTCCCTTTGAACATTGTTTACGCTAAATATGTTCAGTATCCTAGTTCATTGTTAATAACCAATTCATTTACCCTTGGATAAAAATTTGGCTAGACTTCTATATTCGTAATTGATTGAGTTCTTCTGAAGTGTAGTTAATTGACCCTTTTAGGCTTTAAACCTTCTTTCTGAATCATAGTTATACTTTGTAGTCGTAATGTTGTACTGGGCACCGAAGCGCTCACATATATTTAATCATGTTGTTTAGAGTGTTGGTGGTATTGGCTGATGAGGGCTAACACAACCATTAACTTTTACATCACTTAACAGAAATTTAGATGTGCAAGGTTTATGCACTCATTCATTCATTTATCCTCGATACAATTTGGAAAGGTATTCTTCTGTCAAAACTATCGACTGGGTTAGTCCTCTTTTGTTAAGATCTTTAAGAACATATACATTACTTTGTAATAATGTTTCTGGTTATCATGTTAAAACTGGTGAAACTTAGTTGCTAAAGTGCTCAACAGACTGTCCTTTGGTTGTGTGCTTTAGACAACGATATTTTTATTGACTCTCTGATTATCTATTTTCTCACGTCATATTTCTGCTGGGGGATTTTCTGTGCTCAGGGAGCGCGGAAAAAGCTCATTTGAACTTCGGGTTACCCTTAAAGTTAGTAGTGTTTTAAACGGTTAAAATGTCCAGCTACGTTATAAGTCAAGAACTGAATGACCGGCTGAAAAAATCAACGTAGAACCTTGCACACAAGTGCATCGTCTCAAGTTACTGCATTATACAGAAGCATACAAAGAATAGGTGGATAGAAAAGGAGTGATATCAAAGTAGATAAAGTAGTGTAAGAGAATAAACAATTTGAAGATAAAGGTTAGTGTGAATATTCAAGCTTTAGAAGATCTCAAGGAAGAGGATGTTATGTGTTTGGGTCTTGTGTACTACTAGTGACATGACTGAAAATCAGTCACAATGCTGCGGATTTATTCACTCCGTGATATTTTCTACAGCTTGAATATTCACACTAACCTTTATCTTCAAGTCGTTTATCGTCTTGTACTACCTCATCTACTTCGATATCACTCCTTTTCTATCCACCTGTCCTTAATTACTTCTGTAAAGGGTGGCGACGTGAGCCGACGCACTTGTGTGCGAGGTTCTACGTTGATTTTTCCAGTCAGCCAGTCAGATGTCAAGGAGTGAATACCTCTGCCCCAAAGTGACGGATTTTCGGCAGTGTCGCTAAGAGTCCTCAACCACTGTTTCCTTTTGTCTCAGGGACCCAAGTCAGGTAGTCTACATCTCCTAACATGGCTCAGACCAACAGTCAGCGACTTCATAGACTGGTGCCAGCTCTTGATGTGGCCACCCTGAACTCTTTTTCAACCTAATCCAACTTCATCTAGCGTCGCACTTCGAGGTAAGTGCAGGCCCGACATGTGCTCGATACGTATGCGTGGTATTGTTACATGGTCGGTATTGTATTTTCGTTGCCCCTTTATTTATCTTAGTTTGCGTGAATATCGACTGTAAACAAATGTCAATTTTTGTATTAGGTTTCATTATCTTTAAATCTTTTTCATCGTAAAAAATTTTCAGAATAAGTGTTAGTCAAGTCTTTCTTAGTTCACAATAAAATTTGGTCAATTCTGTACTATCTTCTGAGACTTTAGGAAACGTAGCTGTTGTGTAAATGTTTCGTTAAAGGGTGGTGATATCTACATTTTTTCGCTTCGTTGTTCCACATCAAGCGTCAGTTATCCAATTTTCTTAACACCATGAATATGTAGTCAGCCCGCCATCATAAACAACTGTTTGGAATTGTGCTAGCCCCGTCTAGCTGTTTGTAGTTTTTGTTTTGTTTGTGTTTAGTGGAGTTGTGATTATAATAGCTCTAGGTACTTGGCTTTAAATCAGTGTGTTACAGGTTCGAAATGTACTCCGCCTATCGAGGTCTAGGCATCTAGTCATTATTGTTAACTGGCACAATAGTTGCGGTTCATTGCCTAATGCACAAACCTCCACGTAAATGGTCTTCTTTGTCATCTGAAGGCGGTGAAAATGTTTGTTTCATTTTACTCATATAGTGCAATACCCTCGGACAGCTTTTTTTGAATTATATTATACACGCAAATAATCCAATGTCGTGTTATGCATGAGGATATGACTAGAGATTGTTGTGAAACTCTACTGGAATTATGAAGAATGTCAAGGAGACAAAGTATTTGGTGGCTACTTATATATCTAATTCCACATTCACTTAAGTCAACAATATTACAATCCAATTACAGTCTCTCATACAGATTGAACATTGGTGTAAGGGACGTTTGAACCGATTGGGATGCAAACTTCTATGTTTCAAATGTATACAGGATGCGGATATTTACATGTACATGCAACTGGCAGTTTTTTCCCGAAAAATAGAACATCTATTTTTGTGTTGGTACTTGTATTGTTCCGTCGTTGATTGTACCGTATTGATTAGTCTTTATTGATATATGAGCTCCTGCGTGGATGCCTCGATATTGCCTGTGTTTCAATTTTATATGAATAATGGATAGTGGCTAGCAATGGAATCCAGGGTGTGCGTCTTAGTTGGAACAACATTGCTCACTGGGAGGCATGTACCTCCAACTGACGAGTCTCAAATAGAACGAAATGCGCGTCCTAGATTCCCCTGCTAGCCACTATTCATCGTCGACATATATTTTTCGGTTAGTGAGACCTTTCTATATCTCGATCCCTTTTATTATTATTATTATTTCCTCACTGATAACTCTAGTATACACATATTGTTTATGGCGTGTGTATAATGTTCTTGAATGTTCTGTTCACTAAGGTTCCATTGTAATCAATGAGGTTTTAGTCTTTTACTAAATCGCCCCCAAACCTGCCTTCCTTTTAATTGTAGCATGTTTAAGACATTTATCGGCAATGCATTCTTAGTTACTGTGTAACAGTGTGGTTATTACAAAGGCTTAGTTGAGAATGATATTTCTTGTTATTAACTAGATTGTATCGGATACCTTTTAACCAGCCTGTGCGTTCTAGCCGTTGGTTTGTTTTTACGAGGTCAGTTGTGGGAAGCAAGTTGATAAGCTCAGATCAGCTCAGCTCAACTCGTCACTGACTTAATATCTCTGTGTATATGTTAATACTCAGATGGAAGCGGTGAAAGATATTAATGATTTAAACTATCAAAAGGTAAATTGTTTTATTGACACTTAACGTATTTCTGTTTTGTTTATTTGGTGGGAATGCCTGATCCCCTAAAACTGATCCTATTGCTTTTATTTTATGCAGTTTGCTTTGTGAAGTTTGAATTCTTCTTCTTAGTGCTCTTTCCCACCTCCTGCGCATCGCTTTTTCTGTGCTGTACATGACGTTGTTATTTTATTGGCTTATGTTCTACTTTTAATATGCTATTTAATTTGTTGACTTGAAGGACATGGTGATTGTATATAACAGTTGAGCGGTACAGATATTCATATTATTTAACTGAAGTAAATCCCATTAACCCATGCGCTGTTTTCTGTTTAGTATTAATTGTATAGAGTTGAGGAGGAGAATCTTACCCTTCGATTAATTCGATTAGGTTCTATATCAAGGATTATATGAACCAAAGTTAAATTGCCACCTGAATGTCTAGAAAATTTTGATGACTAAGTTAATGCATAACAATCACGTACAATTAAGGCAGAACAATATTACTGCAAGAATTACGCTGTTTTAACACAACATTTCATCCATCTGGAGGAAATGTTAGAGATCACTGATCTCTTTAACGAAAACTGTCAGTAAATGAAGATGATACTTTCTTTGCACATACTACCATTGTTAGTTTCGAATGTTATCCGTGTAAGCTGAAGCTTATTATGTATGAATGAATGATTCAGATAATTGATATTAATGTGCAACTTACAACCTCTAAAATTTGTAGATATCAGAATGAAATCGTCACAAGACTGTATACTGACACTAAATTTGACATATAAAGATTATCAAAATACAGAACTCCAATTATTCACGCAGTGACATAAAAAGTGCAAGAAGGTTAATTACATTGTCTCAGTTGTATTGCAATATCTTTCGTCTTATCAGGTTTTGTCCTTACAACACGGAAGCCGTTATTACATTACTACATTTTACAGCGATATCTGTTGTCACTAAATCCTATATATATATGTCCAGATTGCACTGCAAACTAGCCACAGATCACCTTCTTAACCACTCAGTTTTTATTGTAGCCTAGTATTTACTTTTCAGTTCACATCACCTGTCCAAAGAAAATCCATTGGTATATAATTGAATGACCATACAGTGTATGTGAAGAAAATACCTCCTCAAGTACCAAGATTGTTTCAAAAAGTGTATAGTCTAGAATTAGATGAACATCTGTTCATAAAATTTGCTAAATTGCTCCTTGAAAGTGTACAAAAAAATGTCTCGAGCCTCTCGAAAGTTGGGGTTGATATTAACGTCATACTTATTTATTCATTATAACTCCGACCTACTTAGTTGTCATAGCAGTTGGCACCTCCGCCTATGGTCCAGT